AATCTAATCACAAATGTTTAGTAAAAATTTTAGAAACATTTGAATGTTTTACATTAGAAATAGCACATTCTATGAACATCAATTACTGATTTATAATATCAGATAAAATTGATTTCTTTCTACTTTTTGACTAGTAGCTTTAGCTTTCTCTACCCAAATACTAGAGTTTAAAATATCAGTTGAAATATACTCTTACTCCTTATGTTCTAGGAATTGGGGGTCTCAGTTTCAAGAAGAAAGACAGGAAAGTGTTTCAGGAGCATTTCCTGTTTCATTTTGTTAGTTGGCAGTTTCATATTTCATCATCTAGAAAGGCCTTTGTATTTTAAACCAACTTGAACAGTTTGTAAAGTCCATTTAGAAAAAAAAATTTAGAGATGTAAAGAAACACCTGTTATTAAATTACAATTTATCACAACTCAAAACTTACCCTCTATAATTACTTCTGAAAAATCTATATTTAAAATAGAATAATTTATAATGCATTTAGTTTAGGTACATTAATACAACCAAGTCCTAGCCACCATAGTGCCACAAACTTGCAGGCACTATATATTCTACCTTTCTGAAATTATTGTTGGATGAGGAGTTACCTTGGTGTAAGTTTGGAGGCCAGTCTTTCTTTGCTCAATTTTGAAACCCCAATAACCTTGGATGTGGATGAGGATTCTGTTGGCCCTGGACCTCCTAATAGGACTTTATGTGCTGCTCAGGTGTTTGAACTTTGGACCTTGTTTCTTTCATTATCTTCTATCTTTCCTTTGAACGCAGCATAAGCAGTGCTGAGCTTAGTTGATTGGGATGCCCTGAGTTTGTAGATTTGATTCTTTTGACATCCTGTCAGCATTTCTCACTTTTTAGCTATAGCCTGGATACCCAAATGGAGAGTGCTGGTCAGCCAAGAAACCTGTGGAGAAGGGTGGATGATTGGTACCACCTCTCACCCTTCTTAAGAAGTAACCAAAGTACATGGTGCCCTGGCAGGGACCAAAGCTAGCACAACCAACAGAAAGGCGCTCCTGTGATCTGGGACCTCCTGTAACCTGCAGAACCTAGGAAACTGGATACAAAAGTGGAATTTTGGACTTACAAAGAGGATTTGGACTTATAATCCTGCCATCTAGTATCCAGTGGATAGGGAGAATATATCTGTTGTCACCTTTAAAAAATGCTTTATTTTTGTAATGTAGATCTATTAGATTAGTCAGAATCACATTCTCTAATTCTCTCAACTAACCTTCTGCTCTTTGGGTCACTCTACCTCTTTGGGAGACTTAAAGTACACTATGGAAGAGTGAATTTGGTTGAGAGATTTAAACATTTTTTTTCCTGAAATGTTCCCAGTGTTTGAAACACATTCAAGATGAGTAAAATTTACCTTTTAAAACACAAAGCTGGGGTTGGGATTGTAGTGCAGTGATAGAACACTTGCCTAGTATGTGTGAGGCACTGGGTTCGATTCTCAGCACAGCATACAAATACATAAATAAAGTAAAGGTCCATGAACAACTAAAAAATATTTCTTAAAAACCACAAAGCTATTTTTAGGTTCACATTTTAAAGAAATAGCTGAGTTTTGAGCTTTCTAGCTATCCTAATACACCCTTTATTCCCAAGAAGAAACGTCATTGCTTTTACTTAAAAAAATCCTGGGGCTGGGGCTGTAGCTCAGTGGTAAAGCACTTACCTTGCACCTGTGAGGCACTGGGTTCAATCCTCAGCACCACATAAAAATAAATAAATAAAGATATAGTCCAATTACAACTAAAAAAGTTTTAAAAAATCCTCACCATCTCCTATGTTTCTGATTACTATGTATTATATTTTTTCTTTTGTGTTGTGATAAAAATTATATAACATAAAGCATTCCATATTAGCCATTTTAGGTATACAATTCAGTGGTTGTTCAGCTATCAATACCAGCCATTTCTAGAACTTCTTCATCATCCTAAACTGAAACTCCTCATGCATTAAACAGTAACCCCCCATTCTCTCTTCCTCCACCCCTGATGTGATTACCATTCTATTTTCTGTCTTTATGTATTTGCCCATTCTAGGTATCTCATAAGAGTAGGGTCATACTATTTTTCTTTTTGTGTCCAACTTATTTCAGATAGCATAATGTTTTCAAGGTTTAACCATGTTGTAGCTTGTATCAGAATTTCATTCTCTTTAGGGGCTGAGTAATATTCCATCATATGTATGTGCTGCCTTTTATTTATTCATTCATCTGTTGATGAACATTTGTGTTGCTTATACCAGTAGCTATTGTACATAGTCCTGATAGAACATTGGTTTACAACGTACATCATGTTGGATGCTTAGAAAGTCTTGCCTGGCTACATTTGCTTTACCTGCTGCATGTGCATCCTATTTCCCCCCCAAATAATAGGTTCTACATGTTAGGGATGAATCTTATACTTCCTGATATTTTCCACTCTTTATTCTATTTCCCTCCATGTCTTGCATATGAAAGGAATATAAATACCTGATGCTGATAAGCTAAAATTAAACAACAAAAGGGTTTGGAGACATATAATATTTCAAACATTATCTTATGTCCATATTTACCTGGCTAGAGTACTGGACTTGTTTTCTCAAGCTCCATTAAATAAGGGCCAAAGTCCAATTGTATTCCCATTTCATTGCTGAGTCAACATACTATCACTGTCTACTCATTTTCCAGCGTTTAATAATAGAGAAACAGACAAGAGATATGTATGGGGTTGTAAGGAAAATTTGAATAGGTATAGTTGATTATTTAGAATGTGAATCCATAGAAACTTTTGTTGCTGTTTTTGTCTTGTGGATTAGGGAGATGGATTCATATACTACAATAACTGGGAAGAGAATGTTGGGGTCCCTGATCTAGGAAGTTGTAGGAGAGAAGATGTCAAATTTTCTTGTAAAGATAGGTTGTGTTCCAGAGTCATCAAACAAAGCAAAGCTGGCTTCATGTGTGTGGATTGCAAATGAGCCCCATATTGGGTACTTAATGTTTTGTATTGAAAAAGAAACAGTTTAATTAAATTTGCATAAGTGTGAATTTGTATCCGATTTATGATCAAAAGTTGTACACATATAAAAATATTTTAAAACATACTTAATGTTTTACTTGTATTTATTGTCATGTAAGAAACCAAAGTCTTGTTTTTCATTTATACTTAAAACACATGCCACATTAGAAAAACGTTCATAAATGGGCCTTTGTTTCAGGTTTTTAAAATAAACAACAATAAATAGGAGAAGATAGTTTCTGGAAGCTGCTTTGATGAAATTTCACCGGCTGGCTATCTGCTCATGATCAGGTGTGCCCACAGAGAGGACGACAATGAGGCTATTCAGGAAGGGCAGATGAAAACATAGGCAAGCCAACAGTAGACAGAGTCATTAGGAATTTTTATCTTCAGATCAGTTACCCTGGATTGAGTAGCCACAATTAGTATATATGTATAGCATTTTGTTGTTTGTTATGTTTTTGTTTTTGTGGTGCTGGGGATCAACCAAGGGCCTTGAACATGCTAGGCTAGTGCTCTACTACTGAGCTACAGCCCCAGTCCAAGTATGTGCTTTTTTTAAAAAAAAGTTTAATTAAAAAAAATTTTTTTAGTTATAGATATATAGAATGCCTTTATTTTGTTTATTTTTATGTGGTGCCAAGGATCAAACCCAGTGCCTCATGCATGCTAGGCAAGTGCTGTACCATTGAGCTACAGCCCAGCCCCCCTAAATGCATGTTTTTTAAAAGAGAATAAAACTCTATATGTATATTGCTTGTTAGTTTAAAAAATAGGTCCCTTTATTATAGAGGTCTGTTAGAATTTACTACTATAAAACAACCCACTCTTACCCTCTTCTTTCTGCCTGTTTAGCACTGTAATACTGGCCCATATTGGGGGCAATGTCTTAGGTCAAAATGTCAAATTTGCAACTGGTTTATTTCATAGCAAGTCTCAGCTTTATTGGGGAAGTTTTTTCCCTTCTTCTTTTAATATAATCCAAAAGCTACTTTGGCGGCTGGGAGTATGACTTAATGGTAGAGTGCTTGCCTAGCAAGCAAGAGGCCCTGGTTCCAGACCCCAGCACTGCAAAAATCAATCAATCAATCAATCTACCTTTAAGTCATTTTTATGACCTTTACTAACAAAACAGACATATCTACCTGTTGCTACCCATGGATGTGGGTCTGTGGATCTGTGGTGTCACTGATGGGTGTTACTCCCTGTACAGTCTCACAAACCCTTTCCAGCCATTTCCTTTTTCCTCTCCAGCAACCTGTCCAGCTGTCCAGAATTCACAACTGGTTTTGTTTGCCCTCTAGTGCAGGTTACAGGCAACTGAGTTTGCCAGGCCCTCTGAGTAGGATTTTTTAAAAAAGATTTCAACTCTATAGTGGTATCTTTCTTTTGCTCTGGAAATCCCATTTACTAGTTGTTGTACATGGCAACCTGGTGAAGCACACTGTCTGGTACACAGAGACATATTAACACAAATCAGCTTATGGGGAAACAGATTTGAAATATTAAAATTCCCTATAGGTATGCCGGTTGTGCAACAGCTGATGATGTCCTGGATTACAAAGGGACCTCCTCACCTTCAGAAGGGGAGCTGGAGGACAAGCCAGGGCTGCTTTTCCTGCTTCCCTGGGTTGTACTCTGGTGCTCCCCTCCCCAGTTCAGACTCACAGAGGCTATTACTGCTCCAAAGCCAGGTCTTCCATGGTTATAGGATCACATAGCTGTTCTGTGTTTAAGGCAAGCTTTCATGGACACAGCATTCTGAGAAACCACTCTGATTTTAGATTTTATTTACAGGTTTTTTTTCCCCATTTGTCAGTGATGTAGTTTCGATTTTTTTTTTTTCTAGGATGGTAGTATGTTATGACCCACTGAGATGCATTTCCTCTTCCAAGAAGCCTGTGTACAGCTCTCTCCTGAACACATCTGTTCCTCTTTATGCACATCAGGAAAGGATTAACTCAGCTGTTCTCTGCTTTTCAGATCTGACTGAAGAACGACTTGGAGATGGCAACTCTGCAGACAATGCTGAGGTCTTCAGTGACAAAGACACGGACCAGAGGAGCTCCCCAGATGTGGCTAAGAGTAAGAGCTGCTTCACCCCTGAGAGCCCAGAAATAGTGTCGGTGGATGAAGGGGGCTACGCCGTCCAGAAAAACGGAGGCAACCCAGAGAGTAGGCCTGGCAGCCCCAAGTACCACGCGGAGCAGAATCACCTCCTGATTGAGGGCCCATCAGGGACCGTGTCTCTGCCTTTCAGCCTGAAAGCCAACAGACCCCCGCTTGAAGTGTTGAAAAAGATCTTCCCCAACCAGAAGCCCACGGTGCTGGAGCTCATCCTGAAAGGCTGCGGCGGGGACCTGGTGAGCGCTGTGGAAGTCCTTCTGTCCAGCCGGTCTTCAGTGAGCGGTGCTGAGCGAACTTCTGCGGAAGCCGAGAGCCTCGTGCTGCCGTCTAACGGGCACATCTTTGAACACACCTTGAGCTCCTACCCCATCTCTTCGTCCAAATGGTCCGTGGGCTCCGCCTTTAGAGTCCCAGACACGTTGAGGTTTTCTGCGGACTCTAGTAATATTGTCCCCAACCCCTTGGCCGTGCCTCTGCAGCACCCTTTCCCCCAGCCACCCCGGTACCCACTGATGCTGAGGAACACACTGGCAAGAAACCAGTCAAGCCCCTTTTTGCCCAACGATGTCACCCTGTGGAACACCATGACGCTGCAGCAGCAGTACCAGCTGAGGTCCCAGTATGTCAGTCCCTTCCCCAGTAACTCCACCAGCGTTTTCAGAAGCTCGCCCGTCCTCCCCACCCGCGCCTCGGAAGACCCTCGGATCTCCATTCCTGAGGATGGGTGTCCAATTGTGACAAAGCAGTCCATTTACACCGAGGATGACTATGACGAGAGGTCTGACTCCTCCGACTCCAGAATACTCAACACATCCTCTTAGAGTGGTAGTGCATGGGTGGTGACCAGGTGACACTTTCTGTGCATTTCAACCCTGGGGTGCCCCAGGAGAGGCCACATCTAGTGTATACCCTTTCCTTCTGTTTGACAAAGTGACTGTGCTTGATATTCTATACATTAGCAATAAAAAAACATAACTTATTTAATTTCTTGCACTTCACTGGAAAATGCCAAATAGCTCTGCTCTGTGGCTTTAGTGCTGAATGTTTATTGTAAAAGAGAGTCTAATGCAAAGAATAGTGCTGGGAAGGCTGGGGTCCGTGGGAGATTTATTTGGGGATATAAAGCTGAAGGTCAGCCTTGCTCCTAAACTCAACCTGGAATATTAAATAATCTAGTATACTTGAATGCGTTTTTGTAAAAGAGGATTCCTCAGGATATGTGAAACCTAAAGGAAGTGGTTCAGTTGCAAATGGACTATAAACAGGGACATTATACTCTTACATTAAAAATCCTTCTTGCATTTTAAAGAGAGACTGCACTTCAGAATAGAGCGAACTGCTCAGATGCTTATTTAAGCTTGGACAGTTTTCAGAGACAAACTCCATTAAGAATATTCTTTTCACATGGCTGAATCGAAACATGTGTAATGTCAATGTAAAACCAATCACAGCTGTGAACTGCATGAAATGTATTGTGAAATGAACACAAGATTAAGCTTTGTCAGGTTAATGTAGCATGCTAAGGACTCTAGAAAAAAATAAACTAAGGAGATGATCTTGGTTTATGTCATTTCTACTGTGGAAAGAGGATCTCTGAAAACAGAAACTTGGTATAAAAGCTACTTAACAATGGTCAGGAACCAAGTTATCAATTAAATAAGACTTTTTTTTTGAGAAATATGAATGACAAAGTTTTAGGGCTGTAGTCAGAAAGACTAGAACTTTGGTCAAGAACAGACTTAATTCATTTCTTCCATTCATCCATTCATGTCTCCAATACTTATGGAATTCCTGCCTGCTGGGTTAAGAGAATGGACTATCTGTATTATTGTCCAAATTATCCAAGATAAGCAGGAATTACAATGGAGAACCCCATTAAGAACAATGAAATGAAAAATTCCCAACAATGTATAGTGAAATGTGGGAAGGAAGGAAAGTGCTTAGCACAGCAATCTAAAAGAAAGCTCTCAGTACATGAAAGCTATTGCTCCTATTAAGTTCAGCAATTTTGCATTCAGCATAACAAAATGTGATGCCCTCATTCCCACTTAGAGAAGATGTCATTCTAGTTTGAAGCAAAACATCAAGGATTTTCCCCTTCATTGCAAAAGCATTTCTCGGGGTGCTATATATGGCAAATTCTCACTCATCTCTCTCTCTCTCTCTCTCTCTCTCAACAGAATTTTCAAATGGTAACATTCAGAGTTGCCCGCACCAGCCACTTCTTTGACTTACTGTTTCCATTCTTCAAAGTGCTTGAAAAGGGTGATTGCTTAGGTCAGACAATAAAGTTATATGAATGTGGAAGGGAACGCAAATAAGCAAATGAATTAAGATCTTCTACATAATAAGGATGTGGCAGCTCCCAATGCAAGAATAAGCCTTGAAGGGCCCTTGAGTGGTGGAGGGGGAAGGGCAAGTGTGTGAGCCTGAGAGGTTCCTGGCCTAGAGTGGGCCCCAGGGGAAAGGGTCCTATTCAAAATAGAAGAACATTCTCCCTTTGTTTCCATGGGGGAACTGGTGGAATGAGAAATCTTTGAGGAGGCAAAATTCCTTACATTAGGTAGACTAATATGTATTTAATTGACCTAGTTACATACCAAAGTGTTTGAAAGTAAATGCATTTTATTGTTACATTGGTGTTTACATAAAGAATAAAAGTGAAGGAGTGGAGAGGAGAGTAATTTGCACCTGATTCTAAAGACACACGTCCAGGACATTTTGTGATGGCAATGGCCTACTTAGGGCAAATGTACTTTCAAAGGCATTTTCACCCCCATGGTTTATCCATGTTTACTTAACAAGCAACAACAACAACCTCCCAGTAACTAAGTTGCTACAAAGTCTGTTTCTAGATGTTACTTCTTCAGGGTGAGTGACCCAGATTGAGCAAAACTTGGCCCTTCCATGTCCTCACAGCGTGATTTCACCTGCAGATTGTTGGTGTCACTTCTTTTTAAGATGACCAACAAAATGGAATTATCTGGAAAGCAATGTATTCGTGAGCTAATGCAGGTATATTTGATCTTCAACATAATGTTCCAAAGAAAGAAATGTTTTTGCTTTGGTGAGGTAAGGTGGGTCAGGGATCTGAAGGAAGACATGTGTGGTGAAGTTCCTGTCTTGCCCCAGTATCTGGTTTTTCTCCCTCTGCAGTCCTGATGGCTGAGTCCATTAGATTCTAACTCAGCTCTCAAAGACTATTCTGCCGTGGCATGCAGAACTCAAGGGAACTGAGTTCTCCTCTGCCCACAGGCACTCAGCTACTCTGTCACATGAACTGGACATCTGGATGCGGAGAAAATAAAATCACCCAACTTCCAATTACATTCCATCACTCAGACAAAACATCTGGGTACTTGGCTGTACACTTCCAGTTTTCATCAACTGATATTTAACCCGGGAGCCAGTCCGATCTGATAGAAAGTTAATTCACATTCAGTTATAGTGGCTCTCTCTCTCCTCTGGTGAGGATCTGCCAGCTTCTAGTCTCAGTATAAATGCTTTGTTCCTCTAAGATGCTGTGAGTGTGAGTGTGTGATTGTGTGTGTGTGTGTGTGTGTGTAGGGGGGTGAGTAGTCACATTCTAAATCATTCTGTCTCAAAATGCCCGATGTACCCAGATACTAACTTTTCACGGCAGATTCCTGGGCCCCGCTTCTTGAGTAAGAATCCCTGAAAGCATTTTTATCATCTTTTTCAGGTAATTTGTAAACTCACTAAGGTTGGAGAATGACGTCTCTCTTTACCTTGTCCTTGGGTTGTCTTCTCAACTCTATACCAAATAAAAGAACGGAGGGATATAAACCCTTACACTGAGATTTCTAAATCCGCCCCCCCCCCACTCCTGTCTACTTTACTGTGGCAAGGTGAACAAGTTAGCACATACCCTAGAACCAGTTCAAATGGCTTTGGCCTCAGTGTTAATAATTATTAGTTTTAATACACATTTGGGATCAGCAATGCTTGTTTCTGGACTTCTGCTTAGTAAAGGACCAGACAACAGCATAAATATGCTATCCTTTCCCCAAAGGGAGGACTTTTTTTTTTTTTTCCTGGTGCCTCTAATCATTCTGGTTGATACCAGTTTACTAGTGGCATCTGGGTATATAATAGGTTTCGCCCTGGAGTTTTTTTTTTAATATTTTTAGTTGTAGATGGAAATAATACATTTATTTTATTTGTTTATCTTTATGTGGTACTGTGGATCGAACTCAGTGCCTCACATGTGCAAGGCAAGTGCTCAACCACTGAGCTACAACCCCAGCCCCAGCCCTAGAGTTTTGAGTTTTAAAAATTAGCAACACTCTTAATGATGGGGCAAGAGAATAGTTTCATAGATGAATTGAAAAGCAAGGCGTATTTTCAGCAAATAGCTGTGGTTGAAATTATTAGCAGGGCAACTGGGGAGGCAACAGTTTCTAGGGAAAAGTGGCAGTGATCCTGGACCACTGGTTAAGTTAATCAACAGTTTTCTAAGAGCCAAAGAACATTTAAAACAGCACTAGAGAAGAGGGTGGGAGGGGCGGCAGTCAGATATTACAGGACTTGCTCTCAGGAACTGTATTTCCAAGGTCCTCAGTTTGCCCTATGGGTAGATCAGGCCAGAGGTGATAGGAGGGGGGGCATCGTGGGAACATTTGTTGGGTGCCCAGAAAACAGGTTCTGACTGAATTTGAACTGACATATTTGAAAAATGAACTTGATTTCCCTGCATACTGTTTCAGTGATTCATTCTTTATATGTGCATTTACTCAGCAGAAGCAAGTCGAAAATAAGATGGATGCTAAATTTATATGTTAATTTTAATATTGAAGCTATCCTATATTTGAAAAATAAGATCAATGCTTCAATTTCATTTCTTATGTGGAACTGAACGTTGTCGTTACTGGAAAAAAATCATTTCCGAATGCATCCTCCCCAAATTCCAATCTCAGAGGGCAGAGGAGTCTCAGAAGAGGCAATCTTGCCTTTTGCTGATGGTCTATCCAGGATATGCTTCAGTGTTCCCACAGTATCATTTACTATTTCAGTGTCAGGGGTAAATAGCAAGGGTAGTGATTTTTCCTTAAATTACAATGGAGTTTATTTGCTAATTGGATTCTGAGAGTTGGCTGGGGTTGTTGGACTGTGTCAAGAGTTTCATATATCCCACAGGCAAAGCCACTGGACTTAACCAAAAGTAAACTCAGCAGTTGTTGAGAAAAATTATCCCTCCAGAAAACCTGAGTCAGTGCTTGGTGGTTTCAGACCACGACCTCACACTTACACTGAGATTTAAATGAAAGAGAGTGAACTGGTCTGTGGGCAATTCTTTGGGAGGAAAGGAAGGAACCTCTATCTCCCCACCAGATATCCAGGCCAGATGTGTGATGGCTGCTATGGAGGAGGGCAGGAGAAGTTGGGCTCAGGGTTTTCTTTAGCTCCAGGCGGCTGTGGAGATACCAGTGGGCTCTGTCTTTCCCAGCAGCGGGCAGAGTCTCCAAGTAGCTGCTGGCCTCTTTTATTGGCTCCTGCCTTCAGGAAATACTGGGGACCATAGACAGCTGTGGTGGTTGTGCGATTCATATATCCCACCAGAAGGTCCAGTGAAGGGGACCACTGGGGCTCAGATCTGGAGTGGGTGCCCATTTCAAATTTGCTGGACTAGAAAAGGTATTGTATAGGGAGGAAGCTTTTTTCTACTTTGTACAAAAAGTACACTAACATACAGCAGAGACCTTAGGGAAAGACAGAGAGAGGGACAAAGAATGAACGATTTGCAAGAGGACAGCTTGAGCATTAAAAGGAAAAGCTATGGAAGCCATGGATCAATCTTAAAAATGCAGGGAAATATTGGAAAGGGAGGTGGGGAAAAGAGTCTTTATTGAGCATGTACTATTTCCACCTTGTTGTTACCCCCCTCCCCCATACACACACTCTTTTTGTGGTGCTGAAGATAGAAATCAGGGCTTTGCTAATGTTAGGCAAGGTTTCTTCCTCTGAGCTACAACCCCAGCCCAGTTTAGCCCTCCCTGCTGACCTCAGTATGTCTCTACGGATTGTCCCAGTTCTAAAACCAGCTCAGGCTATACCAGTAACCAAGGTGGGCAGAAGTCATTTAGAACTGTCTGAGTAGACAACAGCATATGAAGAACAAAGCAGGTGGATCGATGCAAACCTCTGCAGCAAGCACTGATTTATGCAGTTTCTTGTCTGCGAGAGAGCTCTGTGAACCAGTCCACTTGCCTATCTCTAGTACAGTAATAGCCACAATTCACTGCAAATCCTGAATCTTCGAGAAGCATTATGTTCAATGTGGCTTAGTACTGAAAAATTATTATATTTAAAGTTCTGAAAATAAAATTGGAAACATGCTCTGAACCCCTTTATACCCACAGAGAAAATCTAATTAACCCAACACCAATGTATTCAAATTAGCAATTCAAAGTACTGCTAGATATCACTCTGAAACATGTAATAATCTAAATTCAATCCAAATGCAAATTAATTCATTAAAATACAATTCTCTGAGAATCTCCTATTTTCAAAACATTGTATAGGGTTATGTGACAC